CGTCTCCATTCGAAAATTGCGCTCTCTTAAAATATAAATACACGGGATATGAGAAGATTTTCCGATTTGCCAAAGCCGATTTTTAGATTTGTACATGAAAATTGTTCCATCAAAAGCACGCAAACTCTACGTCGATAGCGGGGGAGGTGAATTGATGTTGCTAACCATTTCGTTTCGCACTCCATGCCATATTGCAGATATCAGATCCAAGAAGTTCAATTTCACAACGTTCCTCCGGCTACAGATTCTGCCGCTGCGGGTAAGGGATGCTTCGAAAACACTTTTTCGCATAATGTGTTTAATAATAGATTCATTGTTCGCGTTGCTCACAGCCACCTTGTGTATAAATTCGAAAAAGAAAAAAAAACGCTCTCGTAATAGGAGAAAAAATACACACGTTTTGTGAATGTGTTTGTGCTTTTGAATAGATGGTCGTGGGGCGGGTGGCTTATCGTTTACGTCTTCGTCAATTCGGCGTGGGCTCGTACTCATTTGAAACATACACAAACATGCCGTATTATCATCGATAAGCAGAAAAATGCGAAAAAGAAAAAGAGCGATACCGTCGAGAAAAGTGTATTTATTCAATGCATAATACAAACTTATGTGAACCTGTATTCTTTGCAATGTATTTTTTCGGTTGGGCGACAAGCTCAACAGATTGCGGACAATACACACACATCAAAAATGCCAACTATAGATGTTTTGCGCAATAAACGAACGAAATAACGCTTTTATGGCGTATTATAACTGCTTCTTTTTATTGGAAATCTCGAATATTTTTGTAAAAAAAGTCCTTTTTGAAGTTTTGAATCTCCACTTCTCTGGAATTCTTTAAACAAATATTTTCAATGTATAATTTGGATATAATTTCAAATCGGGAAATTGATCGAAAATATTTATTAATGCATTAAGGTGTGTAGTCACTATTTACAGTCTCTATCATCAAAATTAGGTGCCATTAAACAATGGCAAATTGAGCTGATCCGAAAAATGTTGATATTTTAATATAGTTATTATAACTGTGATTGGCTCTGGTTTGTTGCGGTAGACATGCAGACTTTTGAATAAACAAAATGCATCAAACCCTAATTTAATTCTTTTCGATAACCCAATAACGATTGCATTCACAAAAGCACGCAAAAGCGAAGTGTGATAGAACCATAAATAAAATAAAATAAATTCCAATTGTCAAATTAAATACATATATATCAATTTAAAAACTAAATATTTATTGAATCCTATTGACAAATCGGTTGGTTGATACACACAAACACATTCTCCTATGTACACGCATGCATTTTATGAATAGAAATTGTGTGTGCAGTCGAAAAACAAACGGAAAAGGATTCGATGCACCGAAAAGAATGTAAACAGTTCACAAAAAGCCATATAATTTGATATGCTGCACTGTGAACATAGGATGTACGTAAATTGTGGCTAATGTTGTGCCTCTGCCATCTTTCCCAATTGAATTAAGTAAATATCGATTATTTTTTTGTATTTCGGTGGTACAAACAGGTCAAAGTGTTTGTTGAACTGTGTGTGTGTGTGTGTGTCGATCGAAGGTGCGAGAATCGATAGAGCCGATAAATTAAATCATTGAACAAATGTGTGTTCGGTATTCGGTTTCCGGGGAATGGAATAAAAAAAAACTGTATGTACAAGGACACGTTTTGTGAATTAATTCACAACAAATCGATTCCTTTATATTTCATTTTCTTTAGTATTGAAACCAAAATTCCATCGAATTCGAATGACACACGTAACCGCCTTTGAATTTACCTGAGAAAGAGAGGCGACATTGTTTATTCGATTGTTTTGACAAATCCATAATATTTAAGCCGCTGTTGATATTGAAAATACAACAACATTTTTTTGCCGGCATCAAAATATATACATGGCATACTGACATACCGGATCCAAAGTTTTATTTCTCGGTATGATTAGTTCGTCTCGTTTATCGCTCACTTTTTGCACACACACACACACACGCACACACACATACACAATAACTGTCTATTGTTTGAGAGGAAAAACCAGGAATTTTCGGTTGCGTCATGCAACACAATAGACGAATGTGTTCGAATTATGTGTGTGCATTGTGCATCATGCAGTGCGAACACATGTTTTACTTTCATTTTCGCACAATATCAAACGAAATTAAAAATTGCATTGTAAAGCGAGAAGACAAAAGTGCCAACCAGAAAATTACAATGAGCCGAATATTCGTCTTGTGTCTATGACACACAGAATCTTTCTCTCTCTCTCTCTCTCTCTCTCTCTCTCTCTCTCTGAATCCACTTTGTGCTTTGTTCCTTTTCTCTTCCCAAAAAAATTTAAATCAATGAAACCAAAAATACACGTTCATCGTTCTTTAGAAATCAGCATGTTCAGTGGTGAAATATTTCCATTTTGTTTCTTCTCTCTCGTTGTTGTTGTTGTTAAAATCAGTTTGTTCACAAAATTGGCACGAAACACATGCGCATGCAAGTGATTCAATACCCTGCTTTTTGTTGTTTGTGTAAGTGTCTGTTCTTCCTTCGGTTCAAATGAAGCAAAAGATATTAATCAAGATTTTTCAATCTTTGTTAATGCTTTGCTGTTTTGATCCTCGTCAAGCAATACCTTTAATATGAATTTTGAACCAAACGAATCGAAACCCACAAAACATTTTTTTTTTTATGAAAAACGGCTTAGTGTTCGTTTCTTCTCTCTTTTTAACGGTGTTTATTTTGGAAGACGCAGGTATTTTTTGATTTGATTCATTTGACGATCGAAAAACAATCAGAAGAGGAAAAGAAGAAAAAAATTGTAGTGACGAAAATGTTTTACGATCGGTGGAAAAGATACGAGGCCGAGATTTGTGTGTTTGTTGTAGTTTTTTATTTGCTTCGATGGAAATGAAATCGAATCTCTGATCCGGAGTCGGACGAATGTAAAGAGGAGAAAAATTAGCAAAAATGAAATATTTCCATAAGCAAATACAATAAGAGCCAGATAAGACACCGAGAGACAGGGAGAGAGAGAGAGGGAGAGAGAGATAGAGTGAGATAGAGTGAGGTCCGGGTTATTTTGCTTCGGTGTTGCATTTCAAAATTGACGATGCTTAACAAACACCCTCGAACAAATAACAATAATTCCATGTTTGGTTCCAGCAGAAAAAAAATGGAGCCAATAATGAAGAGCAGACGAAAGAAGACGGCTACCAATGTCCTTTCAAAATCGAGTTGCACACACAAACACACATTTCGTATTCGCAGTCAGTCGTGTAACAAGACGATTGAAATTTGGCATACCATACGATTTTTAACGAACCGAACAGAGAATACAGAAACAAAATATGCCAATTTTTTTCTCCACTCTCGAGTATTCGAAGAAGTGGTCGAAAAATGAAGGATGTATCGGTCAACGAGCAAACAGCAATCAGCTTAGTGACAGGTAGATTGGTTATTCTTCTCTTTTTTTTCTGGTTAGCCGAGGTGGTCATAGCGCAAGTGTGCCTGCGCAGCCAATTTCACGATAAAGTGAACAAGTTGCAACGCATACAGACACAAATGAGCCTTGCGAAAAATGAAGATGAGCCAAAAGAACAATGAAAAACGATGGAAAAGAAAAACAAAAAACGGCGACGGTAACAAGGAACGAAAGAGAAAATGTAAAATTATCAAATTGACCGCAACCGGATGAAAAGTGGAAGCTTGAGCTGTCGTCCGCTCTGTTTTTTCTGCTATAATTCATCGGTCAAATTCCGTGGTGGTGCCATCAACAACGGCAAACGCAAAAAAAACTAAATAAATGATGATGGCACCGAAGAAAATCATAATTGTAATTTATTATTGTGATTTGGAAATCAAATATCTTAATTAGGTTTGGCTGTTGTTTTTGCTTTTTTTTTCTGCTCTCTCGCCCGTGTCATTCGTTCGAGTTCAGGTTCTTTATCTTCGTTATCGTAGTTGTCGCTTTCATTCGAATTCCGATACATTTTTCACGTTTGGAACCTATTTCGATGTGTGTTGTTTTTTATGCTTTGGATGCCGTAATAACATGGTCATTAGATAAGGCAGACGAATTTTTTGGGCGCTCGTACCAGTTGAATTCGACCAACACAACGATGGCTTCAACCGAAAAAGACCCATTTATATATATATATATATACTTTTTTCCGTATTGTGATATTTTATCGTTCAGGTACAATCCAATCAACAGAGAAGGGAAAAAAAAGGTTCATTAATTTATCATTTACACCGAAAAACCAACAAATAATCATGCAAACATTTATCTCGACGTAAGAAAAATACAACATTTTTCGGTTTAATATATCATCACGTTCAGCAATTTTTTTTTCTCCTCCTCTGCCTCTCTTTCTCTGTTCATTTTGATTGTTTAGTTTTTTGATCTCAACTCTTCGACGACCGTTGAAAACCGTACAATTTGCGTATATGTGTGTGTGGCTTCTCTCTTTCTCTCTCTCTCTCTTTTTTCATTTATTGGTTTTTATTCGCTCTATTCCTCTCTCACTCTGTCTTCCATTTATTATTTATTTTGTTATTCGCATTCTGTAATTTAATATGGAATCGCCCTTCAATTCAATAATCACTGAAACCTATAACCTATATTTATATCTTTGATTGGCGTATTTAACGTTGCTTTTATTTATTTTTTTCATTATTCTGGCCGTTCGGTTTCACTTTACTACTGCTTCGTTCGGTGTGTGTATTTGTGTGTGTGTGTGTGTGTGTGTGTAACATGATCGTTAATATGTTAATTGTTGTTTGAGTTGTCAATCATAAGATCATTACAAATTACATAATCAATCAATTGTATCATTGATTCTTGTTGCGATCAACAGCAGCGCTATACATATATCAAGTAGATGTGAAGACCACGAAACAGCGGCATAGAAGAAATGACTGAATGAATTGTATATTTTCTAAGAATGTTATTTCTATAATTAACTAATAAGCATATCGTTTTTTGTTTTTTTTTTCTCTTCGCAGATATCATAAGTATTTCCGTAGCAGCCAGTACAAACGCGGTCAAATGTGAATGACTATGGAGATTAACGGCTAAATAATAATATATCGCCGGACAGAGACCACACATAAAAAAAAAAAATGTAAACAAGTGCAATAATATCGTTTATACCCAAGTAAATGCAAGGATATTTGAAAGGACAATGAGGTGGTAAACACCGAAACAAAACTAAACGAGAAAAAACAAATTGATACAGTTTATATGCCAAAATTGCATATAAAACAAACAACAAACAAGAAGAGAGTGAGACGTGCGTAGGACGTTCTAGTGTAATTAGTAAAATAGTGTTCTGATCTATTCGCTACACGTATAATAGTTTGTAATATGTCATCAAAATGGATCTCCAATCGCTGGGTGCATTTCTATAAGGCTGAATAGCTGATAAAAAAAAAAACAAAACACATCAATATAACCAACGGCGCGTTTAAATGTTTTTGCTCTATATTTTACGTTTGTAATACATCGCGTGCGCAAAACCGTTTCCCATTTGAAATATGCGTGTATAAAGTCAACAATACTATTTTTAAACATAAAATTCGCATTGTGCCCCATCATCTCACTCCGCATTCACAGCATAATAAAAAAAAAAAACGAAATACACTTATGTGATCGAAATCAAAAATCTATTTGCTCAGCATTCGCATACATTTTTATGTGCGATCATCATCGTCAACGCGTCTTGTAAATTTCGGTTGATTTTCGAGTAATTTTCATTTTAATCGAGAGAAGAAAAAAAAAACCAGAGAAAAATCAAATAAATCCACTTAACGATAATTTACGGCACTTTATTAATCATTTCGACAACGTGCAAGACCCCAAAAAAACAAAACATTAAACGTCGGCGTAACAGAGAAAAACAATTTTTCAATTTGTCAACAGAAGTGGACGGTTTTTTCTCTCTCTTCATTTAGTTCGGTTTCGACAGGAGAAAGAAAAAAGAAACTCTGCAAACTAATCATCAAGAATCTAAAAACGCACCAGGCAGAGAAAGAGAGAGAGAGTGAGTAAGAGAGAAATTTAGTGTGTTCGTTTGAGTTTTGTGCACTCTCAGAATGAATACAGTGTTTAAAATGAATAATTTATGTTTGCGTTGTACGCAGCCATCTTATTTTAATTACAAATACGAGCAACATATTCACGTCGTTGCATAAAACGAAGAAGAAAAAAAGAATCCCAAGAGAAAATCCGCAACAACGCACAAAACCACACACACACACACATACACGACGCGCCCGATTAATTATGTGGTAGAAATTCACTCTATGTTTCATGTTGCATATAAAATTAAAATTAAAATTTGAGCGGAAAACAAAGAAGAAAAAAGAGAGCAATGTGTCATCATCAAATCAAGTCACAACTGAAATTAATTAACTGAAACAGCAGCAACAAGAGAAAAGATAAGAGAGTTAATGCCGCTATCGCTTAGAGGCAAAAGAACAGCAAACGTGTTTTAAATAAATAAGTTTTTAATATTTATCAACAAAAACAAAACCGAAACGAGGTAAATTCAGAAGCAAAAAAAAAAAGAGAAGCAGAACCATTCACATAGAAAGTGAATCACGGAAACGCTTGGCGCTAGCAAAAAGCAAGAAGAAGAAGACGACGAATTAAAAAAAAAAAAAACGACTAAAATCAAGTGTTGTGATAAAAATTATAGAATAAACTATGCCCCACAATAGTCATAATTCACAAAGCGCCGGTGCGACGGTCGGTCTCAGCAATGGCGTTCTATCGACAAACGGCGGCACCGGCATCGGTGGTACCTCAACCACAACCGGCTCATCATCGCCCGGTGACGATCTGGGCAGCACCGACGAAGTCAAAGTATTCAAAGACGAAGGCGAACAAGAGAATGAGGAAATCTCATCGCAAACATTACTAGAAGAGAAATCAAGTCTGATCGATTTGACGGAGAGTGAGGTGAGTAGCGTAGCGTAGTGTTGATGTGACAAACACACAACGAATTTGTCACAACAGTAACAATTCCGAAAAAACCACACATACACACACACAATGTTGGTCGCATTCGGCCCAATCAATCAATCAATCAATCAATCAGTCAATCAATTGACGCCTCATTTGTGCTTTCTCTTCTGTTCGGTTTATTTCACAGGAAAAAAGCGGGAAATCACAATCCAGACAAGAGCAGGGTTCAGTTTTTGGTAAGTTTTCTTTTTCTTTTCCACACATTCCACTGTTTAGAATCCATTCGGTTTTGCATTAAAATCGAAAAAAACTAACATTTTGCAAATTAAACTTTGCACTGATACAATCTCAATAACAAATAGTGTTTGTTTAGTAACAATAAATCGAAATTGTACAATGCATAAAACAATAAAAACAAACACGATTTTTGTGAAAATAGAAAAAAAAAATGATTCAATCGAATAATGTTTTGAATATATTCATATTTTACAGGAAAAGTTGATACACACAATAACTTATTCAACTACATCTCACTTCCGTACTCATATCCAAATGGAGCTGCATCAATGGTGAGTTCACTTGCATCATTTCCTTCATTTTTGATTTTTTTTTTTTTTACTTTCAAATAGAAAGAAAAATTGTGTTTATATTTCGAAAAGAAAGATTTCCAATTGAATTTCGAGGTCAAATGACGAATTGAATGTTTTGATTCAAAACATTTCCGTAACGAAAAAAAAAAAAAACAAAATGAAATAAAAACGATCTGCAAATGATCGATCAATCCAGTGCAACTACGAGATGCATTACTCTTTATATATATATATGAAACCAAATACATGCCAATATTATGTACGATTTGAAGGCGTGCACATACTCGGATACATTTTTTTCTTCTTCTTCTTCTTCTTCTTTATATTCCTTCGCTCTCTTGATCAAATACATTTTAAATCATTAGTAATTGCTCGTAAATGCTACAAATTTAGCAAGTATTTTCATATTTAAATGTTTGAAGGCATGTTTGAGCAATGCGATTTCCGTTCGTTCAATGTTCTCGCCGTCGTAAATCAAGTCATCGGTTCGGTTCGGTTCATGCAGTGCCGTTAAATATGCAATTTTCTCTTACGCAAAATGTGAAGAGCTATTACAACAACAACAGTAATAGCAACAAAATCCAATGCACCGAATGCGAATGGATTTGTTCGCCGAACGAAATCAACATGATGAAGAGAGGAAGAAACAGAAGAGAAAAAAAAAACAGCAGCGTACACACAGCGTAATGTAATGCAATAATTACGGTTTTCATTCTTACATACGTTTAATTTCCCATCGAAACAATTATTTTCATTTACATTTGGTGTACGAATAACGGCCACTAGGGTAAAACTCATCGACATCAAACGAAAATCCATGCGTTTTATTTTGTTATTTCTCTGCTCTCTTTCTCTCTCTCTCTCTCTCTCTCTCTCTCTCTCTATCACTCGATTTTTTTGTACATTTCAACTGTGATGCATTTATGCGCATCTATATAGTGAACGAACAAATTGATTTTGGAAGAATACGAGCAAAATGAAAAGAATACAACAATGTGAAAAGAAAGACAGAGAGAGAGAGTGAGAGAAAGGCGGTAGGAATGAACAAAAATATGTGCTGCCGAATCAAAAGTAAAAAAGCCACACATTTAGAGGAAAAATATCAACAATCGGCGCAAAATCGCCGGAATCAAGCGAGAGATATGAGATATGTTTATGCGAATATCTCGTAATGTGTGCATACTTGTGCGCTTGCTGATGTAATGATCAACGAGTTTAATTACCTTTTGGGGGGGGGGAATTATCGCCTGCCTGCGTCAATTAGCAAGCGATAAAAAAAAATTATATTGTCATGCACGTTTCGGGCGGTTTGTTTTCATTTTGTTTTTAGAATGCAAGCACGTGGATACACACATGCTATAGTTGAATCGAACACTTCAATGCGTCGCAAATTTGATTATCAAGAAATTGTCACATGCAGGTTCAATGTTTATTTGCCTTCGAATTTATTGTCTAAAAAGTGTTTTGTTTTTCTATTTGGGAAAAAAATTCATTTCAAATTGATGGTCTCAATTAATGATGTTTCGAAGCAGGAAACCTCCTTTCCTGACGAATGAAAAAGATATTCGAAGTTTGAGTTGAATCAAAGTCAGTTCAAGCTCAAAATCTCAAGTCGAAACTATTTTCGATCCATGAAACCTTTTTTCAGCGCAGAATCATTGCTTTTAGCATTATCTCCCATTTCGATTGTGCTGCAAATAAAGATTCCGAAAAAGTTCTGTACTATTTTGCGCTCCAATTAACGTTTTTTTTTTTCTCGATACAAACACGAATGACGCAATGGTTCATGTGGCTGAACTATGCGATAGAATGAAATGGCGACATCTTCAAGTATGTGGTGTCAGTTCAAAGCACCGAAAAGACCACAAGGTTATTAATAAGCTACAGAGAAAAGCTGATCAACGACCAAAGCTAAAAAAAAACAACAGACACATACGATAGAATGAGTTAGAGCACACATATGTTCAATAGGGTATTGTTTGTAATGATGGAATAATAATTTACTACACCACATTGAACAGTAGAAAAAAAAAGAGTACATAAGCGCATTGAATGAGTCTCACTGGCTGCACAAAACGGATCGATGCCAAAATAAACCGACAATGTGACGTTTCAACGCCAAACACATCGATTCTGTTCTCTCTTTTTTTTCTTCGTTCGTAAAAGAGCGAATGAGACAAGCGGTGGGAAGTTTATAAAAAAAAGAGCAGGCAACTTGCGCATGATTGCAAGTGTGCGCTGGTTATTGAAAATGTTCCAATGTGGTTATTAATAATAAAATCAACCAGAAAACCGACAAACTGCATATATGCATATGAGTGTCTATATAACAAAATAGAGAGAGAAAGAGAGACTACATGATGCTGAAAGCCTCAAAACATACATTAACATGTATAAGTCGTCCGTCTTTCGCCGTTGTGTTGCTGTTGTTGTTGGTTTTTTTTTATATTCGATTTCTTAGATTCAGCACTCAAATCGGTTGTGTGCAGTGAATAACTCATTCAGTGTACTCATTATGAATAATGGAATTTATATGAACGTAATTTAAACGAAGCGAACGATATAAAAAAAGATAGTGAGCTCTCTATCAGTTCTGGAGAAGAGGTTAAAGTTGAAATCCAGCACTTCAGTTAGTTGTTGTTGTTGCTGCTGCTTTTTATTGTGACGCATAAAAAAAAAGAAGAAACACTGATCTGTGTAAGAAATCTCATTATATCAACTTTTTTCCATTCTTCTCCGTTGTGATATTATTGATGATGGTGCGTCGATCGTGCGCTGCATTTGCTATCTTTCCTGTAACTCTGTTGTTTCTTCTGCTTCTTCTTTTTATCTGAGCGTCGTTTTTTTTTCTATGTGTTTTTTTTCCCTACTTCTTCTTCTCATTGGCTTTGTTAAATGTATGCGCTAGCTCACTTGTCCGCATCGTGTGTTAAATGAATACAATATTCTAATTACGATTTGAATTTAATATGAGAGTGTGTTACTTCTTTTAATTAAACTATATATGTATAGTTTTTTTTTATGGTTTTAACTCTTATAATTGCAATTACAATTAGTCGAACCGTTCCAATTTATTATAATCTCTACGTTTTACGAGGTTTAATTTTTGTATTGTTCTCTTTATTTCTTCACTTCACTTCGTATACCACAAAGATGCGCACGATCTTAAATTCGAAAAATATCGTCGTTCTTTTCTTTTAATGCTATATATTTCATGAATACTTTGTGAATTTCACACATACTTGCCGCTGCCACTGCCGCTATAGCCGCTGCCATCGCCACACACAACCAAAAAACTAGAGACGATGGTAAATCATTAGCTTTGAACCGGCAATCCTCTTAGGAGATTAGTGCGCCGTTTCAAACATGTGAAAATTATCAAACAGAATGGGTTATTGGCGTTGATTGCGCTATATAAAACAATCAGTCAAAATTCAATTTTTCGAATAATCCGAGATTGTGAGCGTTCTTATCGCGCATCAATTGATCTCTCGTCTCAAACTCTATTTCTCTCTCTCTCTCTCTCTCTCTCTCTCTCTCTCTCTCTCTCGATCCATAAGAAGCGTGTGTGTGTGTGTCTGTCCGTCCAAAGAGCATCACAGATGAGCAAGAGCTATAAACGATTTTTAATTGCTTTATCGATGTTTTTGGAGTGTGAAGACAGACGAAGGCTCACACAAACTGATTGAAATAAATACCCCATCTAATGGCGTATTATCACAATCAGAGAGATTAAAACCAAGAGAAAATAAAAGAGAAACAAAAGGGAGAGAGAGAGAGAAATAAGAGTAGTGTCAAGACGGATGCGCAAAGCCCTTACATCCATTAAATATTAAATACAATTTTATTCAGAATATTCATGTTTAAATTCAATTACAACATAATATTCATAATTTTTGCTTGTTATTTGTCTTATCGGTGGCCCCAGTTCTCCACATCTTTGTCTCACACTCCTCCGGTGTGTGTGTGCTTTTTTCTGTAATTCAATTTTCCTATAGAATATTTTAAGACAACATTTAATATGCATACAAGATATATAGATGTGCAATAATTTTTTTCGTGAGCTAGTTAAGGTTCTGTTCATTGAGTGTGTGCATAATTTGGTTGATTGATGCGTAACACTGTTTATGGTTAACAAGTTGTGAGTGAGAGACAGGTACAGCTAATGGAAAATATAGAAGAAAAATACTGGGGAGAAGAATGAACAAAAAAAAAGCGCAGCTTATTTCATATTAACATTAATTGATACATTACATTTTTATATTGATCACATATATACACACAAAGAGAGACTGAGATGCATTTTGCTCTGCCTCTCTCTGAGTTGTGCCTTCTTGTGTGTTTACTGTGATTTTTAACGCTTTTATGGATTTTAATTGTTTAATTTTTCTCTTTGATATGAAGATTATACCTGTTCAAACACTTCAATTATATATGAACTACATAAAAAATGAGCTCCGATGCAAAATTGGCTGCATGTGCGTAACAAACTGCCCACGAGTTTGCTGCTGTTCTTGTTTTTGTTGTTTTTGTTCTTCTCTGTCCATGTTTTGTTGTCGTGTTGCTGTTATGTTCCATCAACGCAGGGCCTCAATCAACACAAACACTCTCTCAATGATGATGACGATGACAATAACACACCGACACAACTTACTTAACTTCGTTTTTGAATCGCCAATTCCCTGTTCGTTTACACAAGCTAATTCTCCAGACGCGTAAATAATATTAATGTACCGTGCATGCATTCACCAGTTATATTCTTTTTTCGTTCAGATTTTACAAAAATAGTAATATGAGTTATGAGTGTATCTTGTGGCGCAGCCACTCACACAATGCAATGCACCTATTTGTCGGTAAAGAGTATAGATTTATGTGTGACATGTATGAGCCAATAAATGATGCATTTTCACAGGGTGTGTATCATTACTTCAGTATAACATGCCATACTCAGTTTGACATGTTGGTACAAGAATTGAACG